TTACTCTAATCAATGCAAGACCACATTATTTACAACTTGCCAAATAACCATCAACCGCACATCCGCATAGTTTCTCTACATCAACTTTCCGTTCCACCAGTAGTTCACCGTAGAAACTCTACAACTATCCCTAGCAGAGAAGGATATTTTAACTACACCACCTTGGGTTAGTTAATCTATGGTTTCAAGGCTTATCACACCAGTAAAATTACAGCACATTTGCCACCATACCGAGTCCCTTCTCATTTATTCCATTGTGTGTAATCTTCCGGTTTTCTACCATAAATACTGCCGCTGCAGTCACAACACCGATGTACACTACTAGATTTTATTAAGTACTACGTATGACAGTCATGCGAATTGGGTCTGAATTCGCTACTCATTGACCATGACATTTTGGAAACTCTCCAATACTTTCTCTCCGTGACGTTTTCTCCTAATAATTGGCTAATTATTTCAGGCTAAAGAATATTTCCCATTGCACCGAATTCCAATAATCAAACAAGTAATTACAAAAACCTAAGAATTAATTAAACTGGGCGTTAAAACCAAATGCGCATCTCCTTAATTTTATTACAATACGTAGGGGAGTAATGAGCATTTTACCCTTTCACCTGTACCTGTCGTTGGACAATTGTCCAATTCTTTTTTATCGTGTTCTTCTTGTAACATCAATTCTGCAAACGTATTTTTATATTGTAGTTAGATGTTATTTGAATGGAAACGTGTTTATATTATATAGCTAAAATAAAAGTGCTCAATGGACTATAATATTCTCAGTTTATTGTGAATTACTGAAAGGAGTTCTGAACAATGCCATTTCGACACGTCAGGACTGTTGGCGAACTTGTACATTCCTGAAATTTGATATTTAGCCTGATTATTTCATTCTTTTTGGACTTAAATTGCAGCTTTTCACGACTATTTTTGGATTCATGCTGTAACTCCCTCTTACATGTTTATTTTATACACTTGTTATGCTTATCACAAAATTAGTTTTAAATAGTTCAACAAGAGACAGTCACGACCACAACCTATGCAGCCTATGATACGACGTATTCATACACAATTTTTACAAGTAGTGTAAGTCATGCAAACAAATGAATTAAAATATGTACCTGATGACAATCTTAAACCGGAACGAATAAAGTAGTATTCATCACGTTTGATACATATACATATGCAATATTAAAATAGACATAATTGAGAGATATACTTATACCCATTAATGTGCTACTAGTATAACTAGTATAAAGCACGCACAAGCTTTGGCAGCCAAACCAATACAGGCTCAATGTTCGAATACCATACCAACACCTGGTTAAGCTTTGGATACCATACCAACACGTGGTTAAGCTTTGGATACCATACCAACACGTGATCAAGCTTTGGAGTCTATACCAACACAATCTCAATCTTTGACAACCAGACCAACAAAACCCAAAGCTTTGACAACCATACCAAACCAAGCCAAAGCTTTGGCAGCAAAACCAATACAAGTTCATTTTTTTTATGCTAAACCAACACAAGCTCAAGGTTGACAATGATGTTATTGACATGATAATAAAACGATGGAATATTAAACATAATTATCGTTATAAAGAATTCGACATTTTTCAATAACTAAATAACTTATCTGGGTAAGTAACAAACAACTGATCAAAAATTTAAAGGTATCGAAGATGAAAGCAGTAGATAATAGAATAAAGACAGGCCAATTAATAAAGAGATTTAAAATAGTATGTGACAGCAAATTACTTTAGAAATAAAAGCTAATATGTTAACAATGTAATCAAAATCTAAACTAAAGTGCAACAGAAGAACAAAGTATTTAAGCCAGAAGAAAACAATAATTTTGTAAACTATCTGTGTTATTGTATAATTATATTATATAACAATGGCTTTTAAACACTAGTCGTTTTTTACATTATGTGAATACAACCTACCGTGTAAGTCAAAATTTTACTATGAAATTTAGTACCTCAAAATTGTTTTATATTAATTAAACGTAATACATATCACTGATAAGCTCTGAAACATAATACTTGTGGCGTAATATAGCATCCACAAATAATATTTTCCTGTTCTACGATGAATAAATGATTTGCAATAATAGTTCCACCTGTACTATATAGTACAGTTGCTATAAATAACACCGTAATTAAGATACTGAGCAATGATGAATCGAATGAGGACAAGGCAACAACTGAACCACATTTTATTACATTACGATGCATATATAATCTTAACTGTTAATTACAAATTGATATTTCAATTACGAACAACATTCGAAACATTAGGCTTGGATTAGAGAATAATATTAGAAGACTGAAATGAATGAGATGCAACAGGAAACATAACAGAAATTAGCAGCTTGTTTTAATACAATATATTTTCAAAACAAATAGTTCTATCAGTGACACAAATAGTGATGTTCTTTATATATTTAGGCCAAATTCGTCCCAAGTAATTTAGTGAATACCTATCCGAAATGGGAATGAGATAGATAGCATGCATGCTAATTAAAAGATGTACCAATTAATTATCAAATATTTACTTGTTGCAAGCCAGGAATAAAGTATGAAAGTATAACATTACATTTCAGCAAAAGAATATATATATATATATATATATATATATATATATATATATATATATATATATATATAGAGAGAGAGAGAGAGAGAGAGAGAGAGAGAGAGAGAGAGAGAGAGAGAGAGAGAGAGAGAGAGAGAAGTGCGGTCATACATTTGGAATTATTTGATGCGATTAAGCAAGGTGATACATATATATATATATATAAAGAGAGAGAGAGAGAGAGAGAGAGAGAGAGAGAGAGAGAGAGAGAAAGAGAGAGAGAAGTGCTGTCATACATTTGGAATTATTTGATGCGATTAAGCAAGTCGTAGTAAACAGATTTTTAGTAAATATTGTGAAATAAAGGTGACTTTGATTCTTGCGGAGATATGGACACGGTAAGAAGAGGTCTTCACCACGCGCACGTATTGGACCTTTCACAAAACAGTGATATTCCTTTTTTAAAAAAAGGACGGTGTAAATATTGAAGTAGACATCTAGATATGCACCCATTTAACAAATGCTTTATGTGTGGGCTCCTATCAGGCTCTTGTCTATCTATACAACCTAGTAAACGTTGAGGTCCACCCACCCCCCTTGAGCCGAACAAATGCGTGAGTACAAACAATAATATAATGCATTCGAACCCTTACCAACCAGGCGAGTCAAAAATCTAACGCGACTAATCATCTTCAAAAACATCTCTCGTTGCATCCGGGGCATCTGGTTGAGATAGCGTATTACATGATATTGATAATGCTATTTGGATACAAATGTCCATGAGAATAAATTGCATTCAAGATCCACAGCTGTCCTTACTGTTAGGTTTTAATCATAGAAAGTTAAATCATAAGATAGAGACTTCTATAAAATGACAGATTGAAATAATTATGAAAAAGAGAAAGAAAACCTATTTAGATTGTAAATTCTATTTTATTCAAAATGTAAAAATTGAAAATTGTGTTCAAAATTCACAGGCTGAAAGTCGTCTTTAAAGAAGGTCAAATTTAGACGTTCGTAGAGATTTTCCCAACTAAAATGGAGCTTGACTACTTGACGTATTTGAGAGAGAGAGAGAGAGAGAGAGAGAGAGAGAGAGAGAGAGAGAGAGAGAGAGAGAGAGAGAGAGAGAGAGAGAGAGAACTGTGCTCACACGCTCAAAATAAAAAAAAAACAAAAATACCCCACCCCTGAAGAAAAAGAGAGTAAAAAAAACCAATGCATGTATATATATATATATATATATATATATATATATATATATATATATATATATATATATATATATATATATATATATATATATATATATATTTATTTATTTATTTATTTATTTATTTATTTATTTATTTATTTATTTATTGTACTCAACTCGTAGCCCACATCTTAATGGCGGAGATATCCTTTAGCTCATAGCTCAGTTGTTACAGCACTAGACCTGTAGTCCAAAATGTCGCTGGTTCGATACTCACCCAGACTAGCCCGGTCGGCAGCCTGGATGAGTCCTTGGGAGAAGCGTTTAGGTCTCATTTCCTCTGCAAGATATTATAAATAATGTGTAAAAGTGCCTTTAGAAGTAAAGAAAATATGCTGCCAGTTTTATCTTTGTTTTCTGGGATCATCCACCTGAGAGATCCGTGTCATCCATCGTCAGACCCAGTGAGAGTCTACGATGCAAGATTTGACCCCTTGTGCCACAATCAAGGTAAAATAAAAAATAATCAAAAATATGTATTCTATTTTGAACGTCGTTCAGCAAATCCCCCCCCCACCTCTGTTTTGAGTGCCACGTTATATACCTACATTATAAACTTGTCAGTGTGGGAATTTGATCAAGTGCTATAATTTTGAAAACCCGTTATAATTTATGAGATTCAATATCGCTTTCCTAATTTAAACTTTCTTGACATGCGAAGAGGCTTCAGTCTGTCAGATGAGTTACAGCGCAATAGTTGGTTATCTATAAGTAATGCCATAAATGTTTAGAACTAGTACACTTTATGATTATGTATGTACATACGTTTGTATGTGTATGTGCGTGCGTATGTATGTATGTATGTATGTATGTATGTATGTATGTATGTATGTATGTATGTATGTATGTATGTATGTATGTATGTATGTATGTATGTTAATCTGTAGATTGCAGTAGAACTATTAATTGCAATATATCAGCCTTAAAATTGTATAATTATGATCTGTAACGTAGCTTTAACAAGTTTTCAGTCATATCGCTACGATGTCTGCATTGTAACAGTTTATAGTGATGTCTGAGCACTGGGACATCATGCCGCAGACATGTAGCATGATGTCCCACCCAGTCCCATTATCCTGACACCAGGCCGACCAGTCCTAACACTGACATCTTAATGCTGAGTTCCTATCAAGGCAGCTGTTAGTACCATTTTTGTAAGTCTTTGGTATAACTCAACCGGTGTTCGAACCCGCGACCTCCCGCATCTGAGGCGGACGGTTTAACCACTAGGCCACCGGAGCGGTCTCCTTGGACAGAAACATTAACCGTGAGCTAAAGTGAATTCAAGCAAGGATATCTTGGGTTATATAATTTTGATTGACTACTAGACTGTAGGAATGTTATCACCCTTCAGGCCATTGTTAAATTATTACCTTCCAGACTACTGGCAGATGGACACCCTCAGTGTTGGATCTTTTTCGGAATACCAATCGAATTTAATTAGAACTTATTTAGTAGGAATGTTGATAAAAGGTTTTCGACTATTTGGATTTAATTTGCATTTCTGTAAAAAAAAAAATCTAAATTTTCACTGTGTTCTAGGACAAAAATATTTGTTTAATTTTAGAAGATCTGTTGGTGTTTGATTTTTCTATTACTTTGCTTACGACCAAAGAGTCGTAATGTCGTAATAATATGTAAACATCTTTCAAAGAATCTAATACACTTTGAGATATACTGAATTTAACTCTCTGTTCTACAACTCTCATGAATTGTAACCGGCAACATTATCAAAGTTTGTGACAGAATAACATAACGGGAATGGTTATACGATGTTTGTTGTGACAGAATAACATAACGGGAATTTGTATACGATGTTTGTGACAGAATAACATAACGGGAATTTGTATATGATGTTTGTGACAGAATAACATAACGGGAATTTGTATACGATGTTTGTGACAGAATAACATAACGGGAATTTGTATACGATGTTTGTGACAGAATAACATAACGGGAATTTGTATATGATGTTTGTGACAGAATAATATAACGGGAATTTGTATAAGATGTTGGTGACAATAACATAACTGGAATTTGTATACGCTGTTTGTGACAGAATAACATAACGGGAATTTGTATACGATGTTTCTGACAGAATAACATAATGGGAATTTATGTATGATGTTTGTGACAGAATAACATAATGGGAATTTGTATATGATGTTTGTGACAGAATAACATAACGGGAATTTGTATACGATATTTGTTGTGACAGAATAACATAACGGGAATTTGTATATGATGTTTGTGACAGAATAACAAAACGGGAATTTGTATACAATGTTTGTGACAGAATAACACAACGGGAATGGGTGTATGATGTTTGCAACATTGTGGTGGGTTTTATTATACTTTAAATTAACTGATTGATGCGTCTAGTAATATCCAATCTAATATTATTTTCAAAATTAAATAAATAGATTTGTGTCCTGAACTTAATACTTTAATTTGTATTATCGTAACACCTACATATTAAACAATAAAACCAGATATAAAATCACTTCGATTAGGCAAATACACTTGTAAAGGTCTGTCAGTCAATGACAGTTATTTAAAATCTTATCTCAATATCGTTCAAATCTAATATCAAATTATATTTTGACCCACAGATATTTTGACCACTTCTCAAGTACGTCATTAATGTTGGTTGATATTGTTGTTAACATTTATGACAGAATATCAGTCCCTGGGGTGGTAGTGGGAGATTCGATGATTTGCAATATTCTCTGCTCCTCTAAGTCGTCTTAATGACCAATATGCAATTGGCGTCAATGCCCGATAGAAGATTAAAACTTAATAAGATTGGACGATGGGAGAGAGATTTTATAAACAACTAAATATGATACTGTGTTCGCATTGGTCGAATTTCCTAAAACAAAGAAGATTTATTTAAACATCTAACTAGTTATATGTCCGTAAACAAAGCTGCACGGGTCAACGAAACAATGTCAAGAATACAATGTCAGAGATCTATCTCATTATCTTTTTTAAAATATCTAACTGTGATATACGTAGAGATATTGTTAACTACAATTAACTACGCCATGCATAACGGATACTTTATCGAAGTTTACTACACTATCGTATTACAGAAGGTAGGTTGATGAATTGATTTGTCAACTATTAAGGTTGACTTATAGTTTTCTTTTACTGCGCGATGTTGTTTATGCAAACTCAAAAATACGAACCAAACTGAGAACGAAAAAAGGATTTTTTTATAAATATATTTAGATTGTCGGAGGGGTTGGGGTGTGAAAACGTTATTTTCTTTTGTTTCTGTTCATTGAGGTCTCACTGGACTGTTGCTTTCGTGAATGTTTATCTGACAATGACATGTTGCTGCAAAATGAAAATAATTTTACATTAAAGATACAAATCAAAGTTAATGGCTTTTATAGAAAGCATGCTTGATATATTTTGATTGAGGCATTCAGTTAATTACTTATTCGATTGTATGATTTCATAGAAAAATGACACTACCTCCACTCCCTCTATTTTACATTCGTTTTTAACAGAAAATAGCTGTTTCAAATATTTTCCTATGACAAGGCGGCTAAAAGAATCAGTACTGGCTTTAAGTGTGATTAAAATTCACTAGTACGAAAACAAATATGAATACTTCTCATCACCCCTCAACTGTCTAATTTTTGTATATTTGCCTCTGTAGCAGGCATACCTCAATGGCCATAGTACACGATTATTTTACTATATATTTTCTTCACTTGTTTCTCAGTACTGAAGTTTCCACTGTATGACAATCAATACAAATCGCATGTTAATCTAAAACACTTTCAAAGATGACTTCACGGTGAAGTTTTTGTCAAAGGTTCACTTGCATTTTTTGAAAGGCTTGACTGTAAAAATAAACCAGAGTGTAATAGAACACAGATTTCACTTCCGAATCATCACCAAGGCCTTATTATTTCAATGTGCACTGTCGCCGAAATACACACGGACAACCACATCATAAGCTTGTATTCTCAAGAATAAACAATTACCTTTAAATCCCTACCAGAAATGCACAAATAAACCTCTTCTATCACCACAAAAATAAGAGAAAAAAATATATTTTAAAAATAGTCCAGAACTACATTCTTAGGTTCTAAACAGGAAGTACTAATTGTGACCCGGTGCCAAATAGTTAAGTTGCGTCTGCTGTTCCTTTGCAGCCCAAGTTACTCATTTAATCTCTAATCTAGTCTCACTTTGACCGACAGTCACCAAACAAGCCATTCCATTTTCGAGCCTCGCCCAAAGTAAAGGTAGACCACATTAAAGACGGTGCTTAAGCGTTAATTATAAAAGCTAGGCTTAGGATAATTAGGCTCATGCATTCTACATAAAAAAGTAGAGTCAAAAACCAAGATATCCAGAGACACATGAAGACTATGTTGCCATGTTGGTTGTGGATATACAAAAGAGATGAGAAGATGGTGGTACAAGGAGAATGGACGGGGTGTTTAGGATGCACCTGATTGGAAGTATACATCTTAGCATGTCTTTCCCTGTGTGGTTATCTCATTGCTCCAATACGTCAGGAGTATTAGCGTTAAATCGGTCAAATAATCCTTTACGAATGTAAATCAAAATATCCAAACAAGCAATTTGAACACAGATTAGAACCTTACAAACATATATTCATTTCGTTAATAGGCCACGCGTTATACCGCTACCCTTGCTTATCGTCAACAGTGGTCCAGATTACTGAATTCCCACGCCATATTGTCACCCTCATCTACCGCCATCCACAAGAGCTGAATTTTGACAAATATATAATGCTTTAAATAATGATATTCGATATAAAGCCACTTGTTCTAACCAAGTGTCACAATCTCAAACTGACTTGAGTGGAGTTTTTGACAGGAATGGTTTTAGTGTATTCGTAACAGTTTTGTTACATCACCAGATGCTGAATAGATTTTGGACAGGCTGAAATATAGAAATTGTAGCAAATCTGAGATACTTGACACTTCACTTTTAGATGGCCTCTGTCAAATTTTGCACATTTAAAATTATCTTTAAAATTATTGAAGGTTTTTAAGTATAGTTTCGATTTTCGACATCTTATTAAAAATGTTTGTTACCTTTATGAAGAAATCTATCAACGCCAACTAGGATAGCATTTATGGCTTTTTATATTTAGGTTCTAGTAAAATGGGATATGAGCTTTTGAGACAGTCTTCCACTAACGTCTCTCAAAATTATTACAGCATATAAAATTAATGATTGGAGTTGACATTTTTAAATGATTGGTCATCATGTTTATTATTTTAAAGTGTTCTTAATACCGCATTTGCAGTTCTACCCACTGACTATATAACAATCTATTTTTTTTTTACTTATCTCTTGTTTTTAATCATGAGTAAGTTCAAACACCTATACCGTCAACCTTACTATGATGCAAATTTTGTCAGTGGATAAGGATCGGCACCCCCTTACCACCTTCCCTTCCCCGTAGTCTTGGCAATCACAGCCTTAAGAAGTTCATTATAAAATTAATGTTTACATTATCTATTCCAACCTTATGAATCGCCACAGCAAACAAGGCTGATAAGAAACGTCTGGTGAGGGCAGGTGAGGTCAGCATCACTCTTCGGCAATTTGGAATAAATTATGTAAAGATTAAAAAAGTGTAATCAACGGAGCTTTGATGTATATTTGCAGGCAAATCGGAGTTAGATGTGATTGAATGTCGAATACCACGCATTGCCGTGTTGATCAAAGTCGCGTCAGCTATAATTATTTAAAGATTAGAACTAATCTATTTAGTGTGTTCTCGATAAACACAAGTGCATTCTAGACATACGTACATACATACGTAAGCACATTCCACCATCTAATCGAATACAATTGTAGCATTACTTTTTTTTTTACAATGTTTACTTAATTTTGGCGACTCTTTTCAGGGCCTAATGCAACATGTCAGATGTTTGGACGGAGTCTGTACTTAAAACAAGGTCTGAACCGCGTTGCTATAGTATCTCATCTAGATATATGTGTATATGTTCCAGACTATTTTTTTAAAAAAATATTTATAAAGAGTTGTATATTTAATAAAGTATTCAGAACCTAAAGAAAATTACTTGGTTTAAATTGAATAAAGTTTTAGTGCACTCAAATTCACAAGATGACACATACGGTAAATATCACATGTTAAAATATATAGTTCATCTTTATTTATTTATTTAAATTTGACACAGTTGTCATCTCCATGGATTTTGCACAAAATATTGATATAATAA